AAGGTCTATGGCGGCCATGGCAAATGCTTGCCCGGGGTCTAATCATTATTGAAGATGGCCCTGTATCTACACACACTGACCCTTCAATACATTTAATGTGTGTTTAGAAGGAACCTGAATTCTAGGTCTGTTTAATAACTTAAGAGTCAACATGTTGAGCCCTTCAAAAATACTTCTTTTTGGATGTCATGTTATAGTAACATCACTCAGAAACAATTTATTCTATAAACAAGGGAAGTACCCATTTCATGCCAAAATAGCAGAACTGGTCCAAAAATAGCAATTTCATTATCTGTTCCCAACAATTTCTGAGTTAATGAACAAACCTTAATGTGTCCTTTATAAGAACTTCCTGCCAGCAGAAAGTGGTTCATTGTTCATGTTTGTTTGTTTTATTTTATTTATTTGAAACTTCATTGTTATCAATTTTTTAAACTATCTTCTATTCTTTGTTATCATGAATATAGGGATTTTCTAAATATGGCTGATAAACTCATCAAACATTGAATTGTGTAAATGGTCAATGGACATCAATGACTCAGGATAACTAACAAAATCATGTTTTACAAGGAAATGTGGAACCACAAAAATTTGAATGTAATAAACATCTATAAAACTCAACATGGGCTAAAGCAGTCTGTTTTACTTCTTATCAGTGTGTACTGGAATTTTTTTTTAACACATAAACTAATTTGTCCACATGGTTGTATAGCCCTCATCCCTATACATATATTAGCACGATTATTCACTAAAGTGGGAATTTTGGGGGAATTTAAAGGGATTTACAAAAAGTATTCCAAAACAGTCGAATTAGAAAATGACTCTACTAATGTTTTTCACTTGGTATTTAGACTTTAAATTAAAACTCACATTACATTTCTGTCACTTTACTGAATCACCCTGTAAATGAAGTAAAGCTGAAATTTATTTGCATGATAAATAAAAAGTATAGTGATTATAGTGCTATCTCAGTGTGCCTATTACCTGGGAGGATAGATCATTTTGGTGGTTTAGGTGTTAAAGGACCACTATAGTGCCAGGAAAACATGCTCGTTTTCCTGGCACTATAGTGCCCTGAGGGTGCCCCCACCCTCAGGGACCCCCTCCTGCCGGGCTGGATGGAGAGGAAAGGGTTAAATCTTACCTTTTTTCCAGCTTTTTCCAGCTCTCCTCCTCCTCTCCGCCTCCTCTCCTCCTCTTCGGATGAATGCGCATGCGCGGCAGGAGCTGCGCGTGCATTCAGCCAGTCTGATAGGAAAGCATTCATGAGAAGCACGCAAATGCCTCTAGCGGCTGTGAGTGAGACAGTCACTAGAGGCTTTAGAGGCTGGATTAACCCTATTATAAACATAGCAGTTTCTCTGAAACATAGCAGTTGGTCTGGGTGCCTAGAGTGGTCCTTTAAGTGTTAATGTGTATATTGTGACTCAAGTCCATGCTATTTGCCAGCACTGAGCAACAAAGTATCTCCATCTGACTCAATATCACGTAGCGTACTGGTTACCCTGCCTTCATGTCTGATATCTTGTCTCTGCCTTTTTCTACCTTCACTTCATTGGATCCATTGCTTCTCTAAATATGTGCACCCTCAGCTCAGACCTTGACAGTTACATAGTTACATAGGCCGAAAAGAGAGATGTGTCCATCAAGTTCAGCCTTTCTCACATCTGTCTTTGCTGTTGATCAAAAAGAAGGCAAAAGTTCCAGTTTGAAGCACTCTCCGATTTCGCAACAAACTAGGAAAATTTTCCCTCGTCCTGATAATGGCAGTCAGATCTCTCCTTGGATCAAGAAGCTATTACCCAACTAATTTAAAAATATATCCCTGAATAATGTGTTTTTGCAAGTATTCAACCACTGTTTAAACATCTGATAAAACCATCTATCCAGAAAGTTCTTTTTCAGTAACTTGTTTATGAAACCGAATAACTTCCATTTCAATCGATATTAAAGCTACCGTGACGGCAGACTGAAATATCCATCAATTCTGTCCCCCGTCAGTAAAATATAGACTTCGTGTTTTGAAAAAGCTGAATCACTTGCCCCTTTTAAATCCCCAAAATAACCTTGCAGAAGCATTTCAAGACACACTGGGTAAGTACAAGCCATATGACATTTGGAAAACCATCAGACCAATGGATAAAGATTACACTTTTTTTTTCACATAGATATTAATCATATTCTAGAATAGACATGATACTAACTAAGGCAGATTCCATCTCAGATTGTAAAAATATTGAGATTAAAAAAGTAGTATGGTCTGATCATGACCCAGAGTGTCTCGCAATTAAGGGGAAATATAATAGAGGTGAACAAAATTGGTGTTTGAGAGATTTTATATTGAATTCAAAAACTGATATAGAAGAACTGATTAAAAAAGAAGTAATCTCAAGAAAAAAAATGCACAAGAAAGTTATCAGATTTATACATCACTTTAAGTAATTTTTTTTTTTTTAAATCTCTAATTCTGAAGACGCGAAAATTATTCAAGAAATTACCACAATTCAAAGAGAGATTCAGGATCAATTGATTATAAATGCCAATAATAATATAATGAAAATGAAACAGAAATTTTATTACTTAAAAGAGCAAATAAAATGTTGACTAATCAACTTAAAAAAGGGAATCTAAGGAATAGAATATTTAAAATAGTTGAAGAGGATAAGGAATATACTAGTCCAAAAGATATAGGGCAAATGTTTAAAAACTTCTACTCAAATTATACAATATCTCGGATCAGTTAAAAGATAGGGAAGAAATAAGAAAATATTGATTAGATTCTAAACTAAACCCATTGTCTGATGAGCAGTCCAAACGCTTGGAGGCCCCTATTGAATATAAAGAGATTATATAAGTGCTATTAGAGCTCAGAAGCCTAATAAGGCATCAGGCCCTGATGGATTCCCAGCGGAATTTTACAAAAAAATGTCGGACATTCTATGCCCATGCCTGGTGGAGGTATTTTATGAGGTAAGAGATTCTGGATCTTTTCCAACTGATATGTTTCAAGCATTTATTTAACCCATTTTAAAGACAGGAAAAAAAGCGGTAAAATTCTCTAATTACACGCCTATCTCCTTGATTAATACAGATACAAAAATATATTCTGCTATTCTTGCTAATTGGGTTAATTTTAAAAACTTTGAAGTATGTTAATTCTTAACTGAAGCTGGATTAAAAACTCCAACCTAGTTAAATAATGTATTTGCATTTAATGAATCTGAGTTCCTGAACTCTTTAAGAATATGGCATTATTTAAGAACTCATATTTATGATAATAATAATAAAAAAGCTCAGAATATTTCCTTGCTTCTCAATAGTGAAATTACCCAAAAAGCTATGAGTAAATGGTACAGCATATTAGAAAATTTAGAAAAGAAGCCTAAATTACATCCATTTGAGGCATGGCAAAAAGAACTGGATGCTCAATGTGATTCTAAACAATGGACAAATGGTATGTGTGGAGTGAGTAAGTTAACCCACTGTCTAAATATGGTAGAATTACATTACAAAATGAATCCACTTTGTTGGAGATGTAATGAAACCGTAGGAACCTTTGGTCATATATGGTGGAGCTGTAAAAAAATAAAGAAGACTTGGATGGATGTCTTTGGTATCCTATCCACTCTAACGAATACAATTATTCCACCAACAATTGTAAGAGCTCTGTTTCATTTGAATCTAGATATAATACCGAATAAATATAAAACTATGGTTATACAAGGCTTTTTGGCTTTAAAAATTATATATGCCAGGAAATGGCGCCAACCCGATATTTAAAAAGTTAATATGGTAATCAATCAAACTCGACATCAGGTTCAAATGGAAACAGGTTACTATTTGTCTCATTATCAATATGAGAAGTTTAAAACGAATTGGCACTAGAGTACCGGTAATAGATAGCCTTCTAGGAAGATCTGCTCTCCCGTTGCGCACAATGTAACTTTTGTATAGTTAGTTTAGGTATGTCTTGTATTTTTAGGTGTAGTGATATGTCAAATTCTTATTCATATTGATAATGTTTATGTCGTAACGAATATTGTTGTAATAATTGGCTTTTTTAATAATGATATATTGAATATAGTTTGACATATTGAACAACTATGTCTGTATGTTTATGTGTTAAAATAAATAAAAAGTATAAATGGAAAAAAAGATAATTTCTTTGTCAGTGGGCAAACGTTCAAAATCAGCAGGGGTTCAAATACTTTTTTCTCTCACTGTATGTCCCAGTTCTGCCTTACAGCACAGTCCTCCCATCAGCCCTTACACTACCCTAACACTACAAACCCTATCAGTGCACAAAATATCAAGTGCTTCACTACTAGCCATTACTGGGCACTGCTAGCCTGGAGGGTCCATGTCTCAATCGCGAAGATTGAATTTCTACTCATTAAGGCTAGCTTTTTCACTCACCAGTGGCTAGTGGTGGGTGGACATTTTAAGCCCTGCCTAACATTATCGTAACACACTACATTCTCAGTAAACATTAACCCCTACACTAACTTAAGACTAATGCTAAGAGTAGTCTAAATATGCTTAGAGTAAAATAACGCCATCTCGGGGTTTGGGGTCCTTTCAAAGCATTGTATGGCTCCATTTGTGATAATTTCACCAAAACACAAATGTATAAAAGCTTTCAGTCTGAGTGTCAGTAGGTGTAGGGTGGTAGCTGGGTGTAAAGCGTAGAGATTGCTATTGGATACATGTAGTCAAATTGAAACCTTAATGTTGCCCCCTGTAATAAACCGTACTTCACCTCCTATGTTCTAACAGAGCTTTATCCTGGATCTATTAATATTCAGAATGTCTATAGTAAAATATATACTGGTCTATAGTAGGAAGTAGCTGGTGATGATTTATATAAGATACGAGTCATAAACACAGACAAGCTTGGGTCACAGACATTTTATGTTCTCCAAATATCCCTGGTTATTTCGATCAGCAGACTGTCCTTGATAATGATAATTGGGAAGCTGGGAAAAAAAAAAAAAACTAAACCGAAAGGAACAAACCCAACTAGTTCCTCATTTCTCTGGTCATAAAGAAAACATTGACTCTAATCACCTCAAAGTCAAAGAACTACCTTTGGAGGCAAGATGAAGGGAACTGTCATATTGCTCTGCTTAGCATTCCTTTTCTACAGCTGTGACATGGTATCAGGTAATCACAAACATGCAATATGCATCCGTTTTTAAAATTGTGTATTTCAAATATTGTATCAGATATATGATAGTAGTGGTGGCTGTTGAACTGTTTAGTTGGTGCTTTCATAGAATTATTATTATCAATTATATTGTGCCGAGATTTTCTGCATTGCTTTGCAGTTATACAATGGAATCATTTAACAACATGTAATTGACAGACACAAATAATGTTGCCAGAAATGAGACACAAGGGTTGAAGCCAGATCTGCTTAAACAAGTTTACAAACTAGGAGTTGACTTTATATTCCCTAATCATTTATAATCCACACTATTAGTTGTGTAAATGGGTGTCATACAATTATTACTTGTGCTTAAATTACTGTTAATGACAAGCTGAAAAGCACTATATTTTGGCAAGAAAAGTCAATGAATACCTGTTTGCTGCTGCAATGTAAACATATTTCTAAGAATATCTCATTAATGAAGATTGGTGTAAAATAACAGATGCATCTTCTAAATGTGCTTTATTAAGCGGCCCTAATTATGCGGTATCTTCCATACTAGTTTAGTTCTGTGATGTAGATGTACAATAATTGATGCATCTTGTACCTATTGAAGATTTGTTTAACAAAAAAAAGACAATCGGGGGGAAATTACCAGCCACAATCAATGCTCTGTCAATATGGCTAAATTTATTTACAATATAGATGTAACAAGCTAGCTAAAATGCCAATACCATTTGTTTAACCCCTCCTCCTCCTACGCCAAAAAAGACAGAATAATCAAGGATGTAGTTAATATGTGGCATCCCATTGTACAGTGCTACAAAATTTGCTGGCACTATATAAATAATAACACCATAATAATAATATAAGCTTTCATATTAAGGAGATATGTAACTAAAAGTGTAGAATGATTTCCCCATGTGGTGGAACAATTGGAAATCACTTTACGTTTTAGCCATCTGTTGATCAACAGTCGAAATATATAAAAGGCTAAATTTGATGGAACAGAATTTTTTTTCTTCCTGGTTTATTACTTAACTTACTATTTAACAATGGATAGCAAAAGCATCCTTTCACGGATTAAAAATATGAAATCATATTACAATTGACAAGTGCAATTACAATGCCCATTGTGGCATAAAGGACGAGCCACCAGCATCTTATAGAAAACAAATAAATGTGATCTGTGCAAGTACATAGGTACATAGGCACTACTGGGAAAAGTGGAGAATTAAGAAGGAAACTACACTCCCCTCCATAACCACCACCAAAAAGTTAAACCGAAAAAAATAATTTGGAGATCTTTTTCAATCACATAGAAACATAGTATGTGATGGCAGATAAGAACAATTCGGCCCATCTAGTCTGCCCAATTTTCTCAATACTTTCACTAGTCCCTGGCTTTATCTTATAGTTAGAATAGCTTTATCTTATATATGCCTACCCCACACATGCTTAAGTTCCCTCACTGTTTTAACCTCTACCACTTCAGCTAGAAGGCTGCTCTATTTATCCATTACTCTCTTAGTAAAATAATACTTCCTGATAATATTTTTAAACCACTGCCCATCTACCGTATATACTCGAGTATAAGTCGACCCCAATATAAGTCGAGACCCCTAATTTTACCCAAAAAAACTGGGAAACTTATTGACTCGAGTATAAGAATAGGGTGGGAAATGCAGCAGCTACTGGTAAATTTCTAAATAAAATTAGATCCCCCAAAAATGATATTAATTGAATATTTATTTACAGTGTATTTGTATGAATGCAGTGTGTGTATGAATGCATTGTGTGTGTGTGTGTATGAATGCAGTGTGTGTATGTGATGCAGAGCCTTGGTGGGGGGTGGGCATTTTTATTATTATTTTTAATTATTATTATTATTATTTTTTAATATTATAAATTTTTATTTTATTTTAATATTATATACATTTTTATTTATTTATTTTCGTCCCCCCTCCCTGCTTGATAAATGGCCAGGGAGGGGGGCTCCCACTCCCTGGTGGTCCAGTGGCATTGGCTGTGTAGGAGGGTGATTGGCAGAGAGCTGTAACTTACCTTTCCTGCAGCTCCTGTCAGCTCCCTTCTCCTCCGATCCGGTCAGCTCCCCTGTCAGCTCCCTTGTAAGTCTCGCGGTGTGACTGCCGCGACGAGCGTTGCCACGGTAACCCGTGGCAATGCTCTGACCCCGCGGCTCTCGCGAGACTTGCAAGGGAGCTGACAGGGGAGCTGACCGGACCGGAGGAGAGAGAATGGAGCTGCCAGGAGCTGCAGGAAAGGTAAATTACAGCTCTCTGCCAGCCCCCAACAGGACCGCCGGGCTTGTAATGAGCCCGGCGGTCCTGGTCTGTATTATGGCAATGTAAGTTGCCATAATACAGACATTGACTCGAGTATAAGATGAGTGGGGGGTTTTCAGCACAAAAAAATGTGCCGAAAAACTCGTCTTATACTCGAGTATATACAGTAATTCAAAATTCAGCTATTTTGGCCCATAATTTGAAGTTGTCCATATTTCACAATTTCAGTTTTACTGAATACATTTTACATACAATAGCTTATTTTCAAGTGTGTGCTATCTTGATAGCTATGTTGATATTTTGGTATTTAATCCTTTAACCCTTAAGGACAGTGGGCGTTCTATGCCATCGTTTCTGGGGTGGCTCTAAACGCCGGAGGGCGGCATTGAACGTCCCCACCGTCCTTCATACTCAGACTCGTCCCCGCTGATCCCACGCCAGCGGTCATTCAGGCAGTCCCCCTCAGCCCGATCCGGCCCTCCCGGGCCATGTTATCACATGGCCAGAATAGCCGGCTTATGCAGTGCCTGCAGGGGGACTGCCTGAGCTACCAGGCTGTCCCCCTAGAGCCTGCAAAAAAGTTTTTAAAGTTAAAATAAAGTTTTAAAACATTTTATAAATTAAATAAAAAGATCTAAGTACTTTTATATACACATACATACATCATTATTAAAAGTGTTAAAATACACTTAGAATGACGTTAATTATATATATATATATATATATATATATATAAAAAATAATAATCAATAAATACATTTAAAAAACTTAATTAAAATAAAACATTTTTTTTAAATGTATTTATTTATAAAAAATGTTACCAGGAAAGATACATTGAGATTTCTCTCGTTTTCAAGTATGTCCTGGGTCCACAAAACATTGCATTGTTACATTAGGGTACAATAAAATACAAAAACAATATTAATACACAATATATACAAAATTTAACATAGAACAGGTAGGAAATATATAATCAACCGTGCATTCTGTTTCGAGGTATGTAGAGAGGGATCTCTTAAAGGACTTTAGGCTTGGAGAAGATTTTAAAGTGTGCGGGAGGTCGTTCCATAATTGCGGCGCTCTGTAGGAGAAGGAGCATATACTACATCCCCATAATCAATTATTGGCTTCAGCATTTGAAATGAAATACTTGTTTAAATTCATTCTAACTGTATTTTGATATTAATATACCGGTACATATAAATTTAAATCAAAATACATTTAGAATGATGTTATAAATACATATATGTATCTATATCTATCTCTCTCTCTCTCTCTCTCTATATATATATATATCTATATATATATATATATATATATATATATATATATATATATATAAAAAAGATAGGGGTTGGCTGCACACACCTGAACATGCATAAATGGGGGTGCTGCTGGGGCTAATAATTCAATACACAAGATCGCACTCACCTATCCACTAAACAGCAACTTCAATGTTGAAACACTTAAAATATTTCAACATTGAAGTTGCTGTTAATAGCGCTGATCTTAATCATATATATATATATATATATATATATATATATATATATATATATAGCTATATATAAATAAAATAATGGAAATATATATTATATATATATATATATATATATATATATATATATATATATATATATATATATATATATATATATATATATATATATATATATATATATATATTTGTACGTAATGAAGTCATTTTATTAATTACAATATGAGGGACCGGCCTGACAACCCAGGAACAAAGTCCAGAGAATTTAGTTCACAAGCCCTATATTTAACCATGTAACTTTGCAGGACACCATAAAACATGTACATGTGGGGTACTGTTTTACTCGGGAGTCTTTGCTGAACACAAATATTAGTGTTTCAAAACAGTAAAAAGCATCACAACCTATATGATCTACATTTGTGAATGCTATGACACACATGCCACTACTATTTGAACATCTTCAGAACATAAAATGTGCAGTCTATACAAAAGCCATGTTACTGACCTATGTTGATTGTTTTTAATGCGCTTTATACAGCTGTCGTGGCTTTTCAAACCTGTTTGTTACCTTTTGCACGTAAAAAAGAAAGAATTAAAAAAAAAAAAGCATCACAACAAGGATATCATCAGTGAAAGTGCCATTTTTTGTATTTTTCACACACAAACGGCACTTTCACTGACGATATAATCGTTGTGATATATTTTACTGTTTTTAAACAATTATAATTGTGTTCAGCGAAGTCTCCAAGTATAACAGTACACCTCATTTACAGGTTTTCGGGTGTTTTTAAAAGTTACAGAGTTACAGAGGATTTAATCTCCCTTATATTAAGGAAGGCTGATCTGGCAGTTTCTCTCTTCTCCCTCGCGCGCCCTGTGTGATGCCGGGAGCTGGAACATGACATCATTCCGGCCCCAGCATACTAAATAGCGCGCGGGAGGAGGGAGGAACTGCCAGATTACAGCACAGCCCCACACTGGGCCCCAGGGAGAGGACCCACACCAGCTCTCCAAAAGGCATAGAGGTTGGATGTGCCTTGAAATGTTTAAATTCATTTGTGAGTGCAACAGAGTGAAGCAGTGATTATAACTCCCGCATATCCAAACATCAGCCAAGACTTGATGAAGTGTACTAAACAAACTGGTTTATTCAGTCAAAAGCCAGGAACACATAAGCCCGCCCAGGCTTCTCTGTGTCTGGGAGATAATTGAGTTGATAACCAAAAAATACACAGAAAACACCTCAACAAAATTCCCAGAATCAATCTGCTGAAGCCAACATGTCAGTCAAGTTGCCTCCAGATTCAAAAGCCACAGAAGCAGCAGCGCCTGTAACAGAATGAGCACAGAAAGAGCAATAAATACAGGCCTCCCCCAGAATTCATTGCATCCAACGGGCCACAGTAGTAGTTGAAACCAGTTTATTGGGACAAACACAGGAGAAGTTGTTAAGCAGAAACTGAACACAGAGGAACGGCTACACTTAGCCACACAGAGCTTGAGTTTATTAGGGAAATAGGAAAAAAAATATATTGGTGGAGTGAGACATAGTGTGACGTGACACAGAGTAGTAAGACCATCTGATTGAAAGACAGAGCTTTAACATCAAAGGTGCGAATGTCAGAGGGTCTGTGAAAAGAAGCCAGGCAGGAAAAGCAGGGCCACCAAGAAATAAAAGAGAGTTACCATGTCAGTTCTCTAGAAATCAGATAACTGAAGAAATGTGCCTAAAATCCGGGTAGCCGGTTGCTGGTGATCTAGCCAGGCGGGGTCCTCTTAGCAGTCTGCAAACTGAAGGATCTTTGTCAAAAGACAGGCCCTAAAAGGGAACGTAGACAGCTGAAATAGCAGATCGGTACAAACTGATAGTCCAGAGTAGGGATTTAACTGTCTCTGATAGGCCTGACATATTTATGGATCCCCTAAAACAGTCCAGGCTGCCAAGGGTAGTCAGGCCTGGAATGCAAGAGGATGGAAAATCCCTTGTGGCTCTCATAGGAGAGAAAGAGAGTGTGGAAGCAGAAAGGGATGCAGACTGGACATCTCTAGAAGAGTTGGGAACCATGGTTGGGCTCGCCAAAGAGGGTGGATGAGGAGAAATTATGTTCTCTGATGTCTGAGTAGATAAATAACACATTCAAATAGGGGGAGGCACAATTTGAAGTAAGACATCTATGGCCATACTGTCAGGTAGCCAAAAGAGTGGGCACTGGGTTGGTAGTTCATACTGGATGGGGAACAAATCCAAAGTGAGAGGGCTTCATTGGAGGTTCAGTGATTGAAACACTTCCGGAGCCAACATCTAGTCGCTGACATCCATCCAATGACGGAAGAACCAATCCACTATCAGGGTGTCCATGCTCCGGTGTCAATGCTTGATAAAAAGGTTGAGATAAAATTGGATTGGGAGCTGCCAAGCCAATTGATGTAGAGCACTGCCAATAGGTTGTCCTTGTGGAGTATAAGACAGTAGTCGGGCATATGTTTGGCATAGGAATAGGTCGTGAAGGAGCTCAGGCAGAGTTTAAGGACATGTAGATATGTCTGAAGATATGTAGAAGATATGTAGATCTCATTCCTTCAGAGCCCACAATTCAAAGGTGGATGTCCCTTGGTAAGTCCACCCATACTAAGGAGCTTGCATCGGACTCCAGAATGAAATCCAGCTGTGAGCTAAAAATAGCCCTCCTGTTCCATGCTTCCAGTGCAGTTCCATTCGAATCTCAGACACAAGTGGAACTAGTTGGTCATACAAAAATAAAACAACTGAGAGAAAGATGGGCTGGATTGAAGAGGAGAACAGACCAATAATATGGATGAGGTCAGATATTAGTCAATCGGAGGAACTTGCGAATATCTTTCCTGTTGGACAGGAACAGAGTCTATGATGAAACTTAGGAATTGGATGGATTTAGAGGGGGAGAGTAGACTACTGTTGGATGATAACAAAGTCTAAATCTTGAAGAAGATGCATGACATAGAAGTGTGTAGGAATATGGTATATGAGACTCAAGCTAAGATGAGAAATGTCAATATGCATAAAGTGAAGTTGCACTAGCTAACATTTCCATTTGTAGTGCCTCCTGGTTAGAGTGGACCATTCCCAATGTATCAATATTCATAGAGAAAGTTGGGTTGAGCACATATAGATGGTGTTAAGGCTACGTTTATCGGAAAACCATACAATGTTTCGGCTTTCACAGCCTGATAAAGGCATATGTGGAAGATGAGAAATGTTGTGTAAGTAGATGATTGAATGAATACCATGGGTGCGAAGGGAGAGCATAACTGGCTTGAGAAGCTTTGGGAAGTAATATGGTGCCTTGCTTAAGCAGAATGGTGGTCCTGCAGTGGCCTGGATTGCTTCTTTGTCACAGAGGCTATGCAGTTCCTTTTGGATAAGGAGATGCTGTGTATTGCTGACTCTGGTAGGAATGGGATGGGACAGTTGAGTCGCAGGGGAAAGAAAGATCTATGAGATATTCTGACATGGTCTGCAACATCAGTGGGTTGTTGGTGAGGTGTCAGCAATAGTTACTTACCTGTCTTACCTGTTTCCAGATCTGTCACAGAAGGACATGGAGCTGCAGCCATGCCTGGCTCAGGCAAAGAAAGCTTGGTTTGGATATCGGGAGCCCTAAGTTTGAAGCGGAACTGATAATTAAGGCCTATTGCCTGTGAAGGTGATCTGGCTGGTGACCCATCAGTGTGACTTTCTGATTTTCAGTATATAAGGCTATATTGGCATTGCACACTAGACAGGTCTCTCCTTAGGTCAATTAATTTAGGATATGTGAGTCTAGGAAGAAAAGATTGCATTGTGCTTCACCCACTAAGATAAATAATTGGGTAAATGGATTGGTAATGCCAAGTAATTTTGCTTGGGTTGCTTTCAGACGTTGTGCCAATCCTTTTCTGGGATCTTGTCCAGTGTTATTTATAAAAGTGACTAGAACGTTGTCAAATTATGGAGTCTTTGTCTGACCTGGTAGATCTTGGATATTCTGCTCAAAGTCTGTTTATAGCCCCATTGTCCAAAGAACTGTGAAGTCAGTTTGTAAAAATCAAGTAATGTGAGGGAGGAGCCTACACTACAGATTGTGGGTTTCTTATTAGGCATGAATAAAAAAGCAGGATTCTTGAAGCATCTAGGATTCTACCCAGAGAGTAGTCAGTGGGACAAGTGTGAGAGGCTTATTTATCTGGAGGGGGATCATCCACATAGATTCAGTATGGGAGGCTCATCCACTGAATGTTTATCTGAATAACTGTCAGGAAGACCTGATGATCTAGCAGGTCATCATGTGGACAAAGAGAATCTTGTATCTCCTGAGTACCGAGTCTGATGAAGGACCTAGCCATTTTTAAAAGGGCGCTTTACATTTGCCAATAGACTCACTCCTGCCTTTCTAAGTGTAAAGGTGGGAGCCAACAGAGTCAACATCTTAGGTGCCGTGGGGGAAGAGGCACAAGGTGGCATAGTAGTTGGATGCAAGGCTGGCAGAACCTTTGGTACAATGTGTCCGTAATGGCAATGACCAGCCAGGAGTTGAGATTCTCTGGGATCTGAAAATCCTGAACGGAATTTGTTGGCACTATATAAATAATAACATAATAATAATAATAATGGTGAGATGTGTAACAGATTAGAAAAAGCAGTATTGCTATTTACCGCAGAGAAAACAAGCTCATTAAGAGTATAGTATTATTGACACCAATGTAGCTAAAGTGAGGCTCACCCACTAATGCCAAAGCTTCTGCTAATAAAGCAACAGAAAGCTGCAATTTAATTTATGTAGAATAACATACAAGGAGGGCTCCACCCTGAAAGTTATATTGGTGGAAAAGGTAAAGGGACCTAATGTTTAGCATACTTGCAGTAACTCTGCTGGCCTGAAGGTGGCAGTAGCCATCTTTGAAGAATACAGTAACCGGAGCATGCAATATCTACTGTGAACTGAAGGTGGCAACAGTTAGCATACAGCATTGCAGTTGGACTGAAGGAAGCAAAACACAGTACAGAAAATTCCCTAAGTTTCATTTGGCTCACCTGGGAGACAGCGGCAAAGAAAAAAAATGCATGTGAGGGGTTAGTTTAGGGTTCAGTATGACCTGTCTTATTGGGATTGGTTAATTATTGCCCTTGTGTTCGTGTTAACACTTTCTTTGCTGCAGGAAGGATTAGTAAAGAAGGTTAAGTAGGACAACATATTAGGGTTAACCTATATGTATTGACAAGAACAATATGGTATTAAAAATAATCGAGTTTTATTTTCACATATTTTATGTTTTATACAGCTCTATCTTGCTAACTATCCTGCCAATTTTAATGTCCCACAGGACTTCCTTGGGAGAGACAGATATTTGGAAGAGGGTGCATGTGTATTAAAGAAACCAGCAACTTCATCCATCCTCGGCTTATTGACAATTATATGATTATTCCTGAAGGAGGACGGTGCAGAAAAAGAGAAATCATGTAAGTACCACTTTTGACTTGAATCATCAAAATGTTATGGCAAACACTGCTGTAAGGATCCAGAGAGTTGGTTGTCACAGGGTTGGGCTATGTTATTTATGCATTTTACGTAAGTTCACAAGTTCATTTGACAACAGAATGAAAAGTTCCAGACACAGTGACATTTGTTTATTATTTTTTTAAACATTATATTTTATTTAGTTATTTATAATATATTTCACCAGGAAGGATACGTTGAGATTTCTCTCGTTTTCAAGTATGTCTTGGGTCCACAAAACATTGTATCATTACAATAGAGTACAATACACCCAGGACATACTTGAAAACGAGAGAAATCTCAATGTATCTTTCCTGGTAAAATATTTTATAAATAAATAAAATATGTTTAAAAAAATAATACAATATACAATATACAATATAAGAGCAAAGGATTTACTGATCGTTTGATTAGCATCAAGGTCCCAATCATTTCAAAACAACTGCACCAAAAAAATGCAGGCACTCAAGGGCAGTAAAGATGAAATTTATCTTTTATTGAAAATACTTGCTTAAACAAAAATTTGCTGCGGCCAAAACTCCACTGCAGGCATAGGACAGCAAAAATGCAACAAGAAACAATAGCCCCCACAAAATGTGATACAAACAACCCTACAATAAATTCCTTCCTAATGCGTTTCGCTCTAATACAAGCAATTATAAATAGGCATGCCATATATATGCAGTGTATCGTCCATGTTTTTCATCAGGTGGTATGCTGCTTCTGATTATATGTGGTTATTTTTTGTCTCCCCACTCCCCATGCTTTCCCCAACCCAGTACTCTGGTACAGATTCATCTGAATTTTACCAATCATAAAGCTTTGTTCCTAAAATATTCTGTTTAACAGTTTGATAAGTTACGTTATGTAAAATCTTGCTGGTATAGCCTTCAATTTATGTGACTAAAATAACCCAGATAACAATCATAAATCGGGAGCTAGTAGTTTGGGATGTCGTATAGAAAAATCTTATAATGCAAATACAAATAAAAATAAATATATGACCTGCATGCACCAACAGTCCAAGTCCATTAAACTAAACCAAAATAGACCTCCAATTACTTTCACTCTTGCAGTTTGGATATATTATTAATATTACTGGTATTTATATAGCGCCAGCATAGTCCGTAGCGCTTTACAATATTATCAAAGGGGGAGATTTAACAATAAATGAGACAATTACAAAAACTTACAAGAACAATAGGTTGAAGAGGGCCCTGCTAAAATGAGCTTTCAGTCTATAGGAGGTGGGGCGTAAAACACAACAGGGCAGGAGGTAGCAATCAAACAAGGTGCAGTGAAGCAGAGCTGGTGGAGAGAATAGAGTGCTGCCCTTTAGGAGAGAGCAAGGGACAGGTATGTGAGGTAGAGGTTACTCTGGGAGGCCATAAGATTTCCTAAAAAGTTGGGTTTTGAGGTACTTTTTAAAAGATTGAAGACTAGGGGAGAGCTTGATGGTCATAGGCAGACTATTCCAAAGGAAAGGAGCTGCCGGCGTGAAGACCTGCAAGTGTGAGTTGGCTGTACTGGTGCGAGTAGCGGACAGGAGAAGGTCATGGGCAAAGTGGAGAGGCTGAGAAGGGGCATACTTGCGGATCAGTGAAGAGATTTAGGAGAAGCTAGAATTGCTCAGTGCTTTATAGGTGTGGATTAGTACCTTGAATTGACTCCTATAGGTATACAGGGAGCCAATGTAAGGACTGACAGAGGGGAGAGGTGTGAGAGGAGCAACAGGAGAGGAAAATCAGTCTAGGTGCAGCATTCATTACAGACTGTAGCAGGGCTTCAGCGTACAGGTGGTATTGGAATCCAAATGAGGTAAAAGTTTGCCAACAGAGACTGTATAAAGAGAAAATAGAAGGGGACCAAGGACAGAGCCTTGGGGGACTCCAACAGAGACAGGTCGAAGGGAGGTATTAGAAAAGGAGACACTGAATGAGCGTTGGGAGAGATAGGAGGAAAACCAAGAAAGGACAATGTCACAGAGACCGAGTGATTGAAGAGTTTGGAGAAGGAGAACATGGTCAACAGTGTCAAAGGCAGCAGAAAGGTCAAGGAGAATCAGTATGGAGTAGTGCCCTTTGGATTTAGCGGTGATTAGGTCGTTAGTGACTTTAATAAGAGCAGTCTCAGTAGAGTGGAGGAAACGGAAGCCAGACTGAAGAGGGTCAAGGAGAGAGTTGGAATTGAGGAAACAAGTCAGACAGGTAAAGACAAGTCTTTTAAGAAGCTTTGAGGTAAAAGGGAGCAAGGATATGGGACGATAGTTAGAAGGGGGTGAAGGGTGAAAAGATGCACAACAACAGAAGAGAGAGAGCAGTTGAAGATGTGTTTTAAGGAAGGCACAAGAAAAGAGGAGAGAGATCTGATAAGGTGAGACAGGACAGGATCAAGTGTGTGTGTATATATATATAAGCACTACCAGGCCTCAATAAGCAAACCAGTAACCAACCTCATGCTGAAGAGTTGCATTAACAACTGTAACGAGAATATACCCCTACACGCAGGATCCAGCTAAACAGAGGCAAATACAGAGGAGAGATACGTCTACCGGACCTTAGAATGGCCGGACTCGACGTATATGAGAGGAGACAGAGCCAGGAACAAACCGAGGTCAAGGGCACAGAGAGACAGCGTAAACTAGGACAAGCCGGGGTCTGGTACACGGAAAACAGCAAGCCGGCAAACAGTACAGATAAGGATAAAGCGAAAACGAAGTCAGAATACGAAGCCAAAGTCAATACGAGAAAACACAACTGAACACCACAAGCGCTAAAGGGAACTGAAACAGAAACCACGATAGGGCAACGAGCTAAGGGAAAAAGGTAAGTTTAAATAGCTTTTAAAACCAAAGTGATTGGCTCCTGTCACTTCCACACCCCCTATAGGTAATTGTATAGGGAGTGTGGTATGACAGGAGCCAATGGGAGCCTTTTGGCAATTAGGCTCCCACTGTCTCTTTAAGAGCGCGCCCGAGACTCGCGGCGCGCTCTTAGTTTCAGGCGGGACACGTGACCGCTTCACGCGGTCACTGCCCGCCTTCCATCTGAAGCAGTCGGATGAGCCGCGCGCGGCTCGTGCAGCCGCAGGACCGCGCGCGGCTTGAAGAGAGGACCGCGACCGGCCCCCGGTTAAGGTAAGTAACGCTACAGTACCCCCCCCTGAGGACACGCCCCCCGGGCGGGTAGGACCAGGCCTGGCAGGAAAACGAGAATGGAAAGAGCGCACAAGACGGGGAGCATGGACAGCATCAGCCGAAATCCAACTGTGCTCCTCAGGCCCATAACCCTTCCAATGTACCAAGTACTGAAGTCGACCCCTAAGGAAACGAGAGTCAAGAACAGCAGACACTTCAAACTCCTCATGACCCTCCACCGAGATAGGAGGGGGAGGAGGAGTATGCCGGGTATAGCGGTTGCGTACGAAAGGTTTCAACAATGAGGTGTGAAAAACATTAGGAATACGTAGATTCTTAGGCAGGCCTAAGGCATAAGAAACAGGATTAACCTTATGTATAATACGATAAGGTCCAATGAAGCGGGGAGCCAATTTCATAGAAGGCACCCGGAGACGAATATTCCGCGTGGAAAGCAAAACCCTGTCCCCCACAACATAGGACGGAGCTGCTCTGCGATGCTTGTCAGCCTGAGCCTTCTGGCGAGTAGCAGAGTCCACCAAAGAACGCTGAACCTGCTCCCAAGTATTACGCAAACCAGCCAAATGCTCATCCAGAACTGGCATGCCCTGTGAGGAGAATGCAGCCGGAAGAACAACGGGATGCTGGCCATAGACAACGTAAAAAGGGCTCTTGCCGGAAGAATCATGAGTGGCGTTATTCCGAGCAAATTCAGCCCAAGGAAGCAGGTCAGACCAATTGTCCTGATGGTGAGACACAAAACAACGGAGGTATTGCTCCAGAGACTGGTTGGCACGTTCAGCAGCCCCATTAGACTGGGGATGATAAGCGGAAGAAAATGAGAGAGAAATACCCATTTCTGAACAAAAGGCCCTCCAGAACCTGGAAATAAATTGGCTACCCCTATCGGATACAATAGATACGGGAATCCCATGTAATCGAAATACTTCTCTAGCGAAGATATGAGCCAGTTCCTTGGATGTGGGCAACTTGTGAAGAGACACGAAGTGAGCCATTTTGGAGAACCGATCCACTATCATCAGGATTACTGTGTTACCATTTGAAGGGGGTAATTCAACAATAAAATCCATGGACAGGTTAGACCAAGGTCTCTCGGGAACGGGTAACGGATGCAACAGCCCACAAGGAACTCTACGGGAGGATTTCATACAGGCACAAGTAGTACAAGCACTTATATAGTCAGTGACATCCTTTCGTAAGGAATCCCACCAAAAATACCGAGAAACAGCTGACACCGTTTTGGAAATACCAGGATGTCCAGCAGTCTTAGCATCATGATATAATGACATAATATCCCGTCTCTCGGGAACATCAACGAACAGTTTATCATTAGGCCTCTCGCTAGGTGCCATGCTTTGTTTCGCTTGTATGGCCTGCAAGAGGGACGAGGAAATAGACAAAATAGTAGTAGCTATTATCCTGTCTGGGGGAATGACAGGAGTAACATCAATCTCCTGTTTGTCAGTAGTTTCGAACTGTCTGGACAGAGCGTCTGCTTTAGTGTTGCGATCACCTGGCCTATAGGTGATAATAAAATTGAAACGGGACAAAAATAGTGACCACCTAGCCTGCCTGGAAGACAATCTTTTGGCTTCGCTAAGGTAGGATAGGTTCTTGTGATCCGTAAAAATGAGGATAGGATCCTTAGTTCCTTCTAACAAATGTCTCCACTCTTTAAGTGCTAAAATAATAGCAAGGAGTTCGCGATTACCCACATCATAATTTTTCTCTGCTTTGGACATTTGTTTAGAAAAGAAGCCGCATGGATGCAATGGCTTTTCAGGCGACTCTCTTTGGGATAAGACA